TCATGGATTGAGACAATTTGCATATCCACAGGTATTACAGGTCAATGACATCTCACCCATGGCGTCAATGTGTCATGGATTGAGACAATTTGCATATCCACACATATTACAGATCTATGACATCTCACCCATGGAGTCAATATGTCATGGATTGAGACAATTTTCATATCCACACATATTACAGGTCAGTGAAATCTCACCCATGGAGTCAATATGTCATGGATTGAGACAATTTGCATATCCACACATATTACAGGTCAGTGAAATCTCACCCATGGAGTCAATATGTCATGGATTGAGACAATTTGCATATCCACAGATATTACAGATCAATGACATCTCGCCCATGACGTCAATGTGTCATGGATTGAGACAATTTGCATATCCACACATATTACAGATCAATGACATCTCACCCATGGAGTCAATATGTCATGGATTGAGACAATTTGCATATCCACAGGTATTACAGGTCAATGACATCTCACCCATGAAGTCAATATGTCATGGATTGAGACAATTTGCATATCCACAGATATTACAGATCAATGACATCTCACCCATTACGTCAATGTGTCATGGATTGAGACAATTTGCATATCCACACATATTACAGATCAATGACATCTCACCCATGGAGTCAATATGTCATGGATTGAGACAATTTGCATATCCACAGATATTACAGGTCAGTGACATCTCACCCATGGAGTCAATATGTCATGGATTGAGACAATTTGCATATCCACAGATATTACAGGTCAGTGACATCTCGCCCATGGAGTCAGTGTGACTAAGCTGTAAGGCATAATGTTGTTGAGTGGTATGCTGCTGTTTCCATCAGATTACCTGTACATTCTGTTTATCATAATTATTGTGGGTTTATTATCAGGAGGCTACATTTTGTATTGTGTTACGTGGTGCTAGACTGGGTCAGACTGCATTGAGTGATGCTTTGAAGGCTGGCTGTATTCCTGTTGTACTGAGTGATACCTATGTACTGCCATTCTCACAAGTGTTAGATTGGAAAAGGTAAATATAAACTACCTAGAGGGTCAAATACAGTGTGCCCCCTAATCTGGGTGTATTCCTGTTGTACTGAGTGATACCTATGTACCACCATTCTCTCCAGTGTTAGATTGGAAGAGTTAAATATAAATTACCATGGGGTCAATACAGTGTGCCCTCTAAGCTGGGTGTATTCCCAGGGCAATATCTCTGACATGATGACTCATCACATTCAACATAAATGCACAAAAAATGCACCAATAACAATTGACTGCAGTCTGTATCCTGAGTGTCAGTCATAATATATAACAAAGACACAAATGTCTTGTATAAGCTGTTATAACACGAAAAGTGTAACACCACTATACTGATGTAATCTTACATCTTTCTAATCTTACCTGCTTCAGTTGACACATTTAAAAAGGTTCTTTCTTTTTTTTTGCATGAAATTTTGCATGTTTCCTTTCACAAATTACTCGAGATGTTTGGTGTTTATGTTCTTAAAATATCACTTTGAAGAAATACCAAAAGGAGTGTGTCTTTTTTAATGATGTGTTCCAATATGATTGGATTGCCTAATCTTATTTCAAGGATAGTATTCTTATCTGCTGTTATCACATTGGTTCTAACTAGGTAGTTAGCAAATAAAAAAAAATCTGTGTTTTACTTGTTTTATACGAGTTATGTTTATTTAATGTTTTTCTTCTTTTCTTACAGAGCAGCTATACGATTAAATGAAGAAGATTTAGACCAGGTAGCTAGTGTCTTAAGAAGTATATCTCCAACCAGAATTAACTCTCTACGTAAACAAGTCACATTCTTCTGGAACACTTATTTCAAGTCCATGAAAAACATTGCCATGACAACCCTGAAAATTATTAATGATAGAGTGTTTCCATATGCTGCTACCCCCTATGAAGATTGGAATGACCCACCACCAAAAGTAAGTGACACTTCTTTTACACATAATGCTATAATGCCATATACACTGTCAACTTTTAATTTCTCTAAAAACAAATTATACATTCTTAGATTACATATTAAAGATTGCAACTGGAAAGCAGGATAGGTATTCTTCGAAAGGGATTTTAACTCTTGAGTGCAGCTTTTAGCCTGTATTTGTTTGTACATGTATACTCAAGTTGTAAAATGTGAAAATAATAATTGTTGGTTTGTCATAAGGTTCTGGTTCATGTTGGTGTTGAGACTTGTTCAATTGTTGCATCCAAGTTGTCTTGGATCATGTTTAGGTTGCTGATGCCCACATTCAAAGAACTGTACGGCTATCTGGGATGTCACTGTGTGTTCGTATCCCAGTTAGGAAATCAACCACCTACTTCATAAATACTAGATGTATAAACAAAACAGCAATTAAATTATAGTGAAATTTGACAAGCTGGCATTTTGAATCAAATATTCCATGATGTAAAGCAACTGAAAAAGATAGGAAATAAAATTAAAATTATTTGTTACTGTGAATGTGTGCTTTTGTTTTTTGAATACAAAAGAAATGCTAGGACAATGTAAAAAGTATGATGTAGGAGCCCGTTTTGTCATATAGTGTTTGCTGTTGACCTGTCGTATAGTGTTTGCTGTTGACCTGTCATATAGTGTTTGCTGTTGACCTGTCGTATAGTGTTTGCTGTTGACCTGTCATATAGTGTTTGCTGTTGACCTGTCATATAGTGTTTGCTGTTGACCTGTCATATAGTGTTTGCTGTTGACCTGTCGTATAGTGTTTGCTGTTGACCTGTTGTATAGTGTTTGCTGTTGACCTGTCATATAGTGTTTGCTGTTGACCTGTTTAAATGCACACTGACCTCGTAAATTGTGCAGCATTAGGTTTACAAACACTGTCTCTGTATCGAGTGATTGTCATCTGATTGAGACATACATTAGGTTTACAAACACTGTCTCTGTATCGAGTGATTGTCATCTGATTGAGACATACATTAGGGTTACAAACACTGTCTCTGTATCGAGTGATTGTCATCTGATTGAGACATACATTTGTTCCCTTATTGTAATGATCACTAACAGTATGTTGTTTATTTAGATTGGTGTTACCAGTCCACTATTTTTACCATTAATACCACCAAGAACGCAAGGCTTTACTGCTGTTATACTGACCTATGATAGAGTGGAAAGTCTATTTACAGTCATCATGGAAATTAGTAAAACACCTAGTCTCTCTAAAGTACTTGTTGTATGGAACAACCAACTTAAACCTCCCCCATCAGGTAAGTATCATAGATTTTTTTCATCCATGGAGTGAACTTAAGTTGATACCATCATCTTAGTGTGACTGAAATTAAGTTTACAAGATGGTATAAAAACTTTCCCAGAAGACCAATATATCACTGTGGCAAACCTAGTGATTTGTGTATGATATGGCAGGGTGGTAAATTAAATTTTTGTTGTAAGTGAAAAAACATATTGTAAATTTTGAATGCAAGTTATTTTCTCAACTGATATGCAAGTTCCTTGGATGGTTGCTTCTTTGATTTGTTCATTTCATGTCAAAATCTCAAATTCTCTATTTTTGGTGAAAACTTTTGTAATTTTTGGTAAAAAGTGATATTTTCGTCTTCTTGTTAAAAACCGTAAGTCCAATTGCTTTGATATTATATATGTAGATACTACATGTGGACCTTTCTCAGATTTGTTCATTTCATGATGATATCTTTAATTCTTCAATTTTGGTGAATATTTTTGTCATTTTTGGTGAAAATTGATATTTTCGAATTCTTGTTAAAAACAGCAAGTCCGATTGCTTTGATACTACTGTAAAATGACTAATTTTCACTGGGTTTAAATTTCGCTGATTTACCATTTTAGGCATATTCAGTGGGTTTTAAATTCACGGTTTTATCATTTAGATAATGTGTTCTATGCTAAATTTTACATATTCACTGGGTTTTAATTTAGCGCATTTTTCAGTCAGCGAAATAGGCAAAATCGAAATCCAGTGAATAATTAACCCCTTTACAGTATACATATTGTTAGTTTTCTAATAATATTTTCAGTTCTTTAATTGAAATGTGCATTGCTCACAGCGGAGCTATCTCAGCCGACAGGCTGCTTGTTTACTGTTTCACTAACTTCTTGCCAAATTAAAGTGGTTTACAATATTCACTGCTCAATATTAAAAAAAAAATAGGTTTCAGAAAGAAATCTGGATAGCCATACAGATTAATACACTAAAAAATAAAAGATATCAAATATAAAATTATTAATAATCTTCATACAATATATGAGTTTGATATAATTCTGTGATGTTTATTATTTGACAGCTCCAGAATGGCCAAAAATAAATAAACCACTGAAGGTAGTACAGACAAAAGAAAACAAACTAAGTAATCGATTCTATCCCTATGATGAGATTGAAACAGAAGCTGTGTTAGCAATCGATGATGATATCGTTATGTTGACAGCAGATGAACTTGAGTTTGGATTTGAGGTGAGTTCCCAAGGACCTTCAATCTGTTAATTGAACCATCAACAATAATAATTTTTGGAGGTACATGTAGCTGAATTGTTAGAAGAAAAATTAAAATAATATTTTTGAGTGGTTGATGTATTATTGGTGTCAGTTCTATAAACCTAGACACTAGTAGTTTCCTGTGGGATAGGCCTTTTAGATGAAAACATCATAGTGATCTCATTGATTGGTCAAATTGAAAAGTTTTATTTCTTACCTTTGAAAGAGCAGCCTCTGTGTCTGTACATTCCACATAGTTTTCCCCCAAGAGCCTCTTTCTGAATTCACCTGAAACACCTCTACCACAAGGAACTGTGAGGGTCCCAAACACCTCTACCACAGGGAACTGTGAGGGTCCCAAACACCTCTACCACAGGGAACTGTGAGGGTCCCAAACACCTCTACCACAGGGAACTGTGATGGTCCCAAACACCTCTACCACAGGGAACTGTGTTGGTCCCAAACACCTCTACCACAAGGAACTGTGAGGGCCCCAGACCTCTACAACAGGGAACTGTGAGGGTCCCAAACACCTCTACTACAGGGAACTGTGAGGGTCCCAAACACCTCTACCACAGGGAACTGTGAGGGTCCCAAACACCTCTACCACAGGGAACTGTGAGGGTCCCAAACACCTCTACCACAGGGAACTGTGAGGGTCCCAAACACCTCTACCACAGGGAACTGTGAGGGTCCCAAACACCTCTACCACAGGGAACTGTGAAGGTCCCAAACACCTCTACCACAGGGAACTGTGAGGGTCCCAAACACCTCTACCACAGGGAACTGTGATGGTCCCAAACACCTCTACCACAAGGAACTGTGTTGGTCCCAAACACCTCTACCACAGGGAACTGTGTTGGTCCCAAACACCTCTACCACAGGGAACTGTGAGAGACCCAGACCTCTACAACAGGGAACTGTGAGGGTCCCAAACACCTCTACTACAGGGAACTGTGAGGGTCCCAAACACCTCTACCACAGGGAACTGTGAGGGTCCCAAACACCTCTACCACTGGGAACTGTGAGGGTCCCAAATACCTCTACCACAGGGAACTGTGAGGGTCCTAAACACCTCTACCACAGGGAACTGTGAGGGTCCCAAACACCTCTACCACAGGGAACTGTGAGGGTCCCAAACACCTCTACCACAGGGAACTGTGAGGGTCCCAAATACCTCTACCACAGGGAACTGTGAGGGTCCTAAACACCTCTACCACAGGGAACTGTGAGGGTCCCAAACACCTCTACCACAGGGAACTGTATTGGTCCCAAACACCACTACCACAAGGAACTGTGAGGGTCCCAAACACCTCTACCACAGGGAACTGTGAGGGTCCCAAACACCTCTACCACAGGGAACTGTGAGGGTCCCAAACACCTCTACCACAGGGAACTGTGAGGGTCCCAAACACCTCTACCACAAGCAACTGTGAGGGTCCCAAACACCTCTACCACAGGCAACTGTGAGGGTCCCAAACACCTCTACCAGATTTTAAAATGTCAAAGGCAGTAATTAAAAAAAAAGTGTGACAATAAAAACAAAATGAAGTTGTATCTATTTTTATTTCGGCTCAATAAGAAGAAACATCAAGATTGTGTACGTGGTCGTAGAATTGGAGGTGACATGTCATTTCATTTGAATGAAACTTGATCTACTTGATTTGGTTTAAACAAGTTTCACCGTGTTTTCTGTTAACAAGGTTTGGAGAGAATTCCCGGATAGATTGGTTGGTTATCCAGGAAGAGTTCATCTATGGGATGATGAGACTGGTAAATGGAAATATGAATCCGAGTGGACCAACGATATATCTATGGTTTTAACCGGTGCATCATTTTATCATAAGGTCAGTGCATTGTTCACATATGCAGTCATTATTAAAATAGCAACAGAGAAAAAATAAGTTTAAAATTGATCTGTGATTTAGACATTTTCTAAAAATAACTAAGTATGCTACTATAACTTGTACATATGAAAACTTAGATATTGTGAATACATGCTGATGCAAGTTCACAGTTTATTCACATGACCTATAAGGTAAAAAAATGTTGTCTTCAAGTTTTCAATAGTAAAAAATGCATGATAGTAAGATTGTAATATCTTAAACAAACATTAGTATAGTTATATACAACTGTATTTGCCTATATCTGAGCTTTCATATCATATATACCATATAATCTGTAATTTAGGTGTCATTTTTCAAACATTTCAATCTTTCCTGACGCCTAGATTGGAGTCTAATTTAGGTTTGATTTCTATGATGTTTATTGTGGCTGAGCAGAAATGGGTAAACTTTGTTTCGACTATGAGCTGTTATCACCATAAAAAGTGTTAAATTTCTTCTTCAATGCTCAGTTTATCTTTTAAAAACAACTAATTTCTCGATTAAAAAAAATCATGCTGATCAAAATCAAAGCCAACTGATCGCACTACAACATCGGGAAATCTCTTCCATGTTGTGTTCACCCTGAAATCACTGATCTGTCATTAACATATTTAAATGGCTATGGTAATTCAAACATGTTGGCATCATCCAGTATTTTGATTGGTGTATTAGTGACTTGACCTATCAGGTCAAAGAACACAGTTTCAGGTCAAGTCGTTTATGAAAAAATATGGCAGATATTGTATCGCATCAAAATCATTCACTCATGATGAAACCAAGTTGAATTTTATATTTATTTCATTACAATTCAAAGAATTTATTTTTTGTACATTATTATAATCACTACTTAGTGCTAATCAACAATTGCAACACTTCGAAAAAAAACAAGTACCTGTACATGTATTAAGTTATTTACTTGTGAAACGCAGCATGACCGGATTGCGCTACGGTACCATGATTATTTGCTACTAAGCAATGCATTTGTGTGGGTTTTTTTTTAAACTTCTTTTTAGAAGATACTTTTCACTACCAAAAAAAAAAAAAAAATATCATGTGAACAGTTTTTTTGATTGACAGTAATTTTTCAACATTTCGTGACGCATATTTTAGAACCAAATTAATTAACTTTTCCCTGACGCTTAAATTAGAGTGACACCTATTCAAGAGATTATACACAAAGTTGTTATACTAGCATGCATAGTAAAATGTCGAAATCACACATCTTTTAAGTCAGATTGTTTTCATATTCTCATTAACGACACAGTCTGTGATTCTCTTAAATTTGTTTATTCCACAACTCCTTTAAACCACTTATTTTATGAGGGTCTAATTTTAGTGAAATAATGTAGTGGTGGAAATTTGTGTGGTGTTCTTGACTTAATCAAATTGGAGCCATAAAGTTATCAAAGTACAAACATTTCTGTAAATGGTCCATGTCTTTCACATGTACTGGTGAATTCTGTAAACATTTAGAGAAAGTCACCATGCTGCATGTGATACAACATATTATTATACATCTCTCACCGTAATGCCTTAAGTTACTGCATGCCGTAATGTTGCGTTATTGCACTTGGCAATCTCATCCTACCATATTAGGAAATGTGAATTCCAAATATGGAACTATTACACTGCCCCTAGGGTTTGACTGGACACCACACAAAGAAGTTTGCTGAATCTGTTCTAAACGTTTTGGATTTCGGCATCACCATGATATATTCCTTGGAGAAAAAATGTATAATACTGCAAAGTATGCACTCAGACAGTACGCGGTTGCATTGACTTCTTCTTCACGTCGGTCAATACTGCTGTACTGACTTAGTGCATATTTTGCAGTATCCTCGTAATATTCTCATATTCTGCACTCTGACACCACATCAAATTTGGCATGGGTTTTATGCAATGTACACATGTAAAAAACTATGTTCTGTTGACATAACATTCTATCAAGTGATGACTGTACAAGCACTTTCCAAAATTAAATGCTCACTGCACTGTAATTTCATTTCACTTAAAGCTGTTTTCTGCTGATGTAGTGTTCTGTTGTACTATGTAATATTTATTTTGTTTTCTACTTAGTATTTTAATCATCTATACACCAATGCTATGCCTGGTAATATCAAGTCATGGGTGGACGATCACATGAATTGTGAAGACATCGCTATGAACTTTGTAGTCGCTAACCATACCGGTAAACCGCCAATTAAAGTCACACCAAGAAAAAAATTCAAATGTCCAGAATGTACCGGTGATCAGGTGATATCTGCTGATCAATCACATATGGTGGAAAGGTCAGAGTGCATCACAAAGTTTTCTGAAATCTACCAGACAATGCCGCTGAAAACTGTGGAATTCCGGGCTGATCCGGTGCTGTATAAGGATCCATTCCCAGAAGAGCTGAAGCGATTCAAAGATATTGGAAGTCTTTAAATATCTTGTGATTCTTTATGATTATAGAACTGTGCTAAAAAATGTAAATTTATTTATTCATATCTGTCTACCCCATTCAGAATAGACTATTTCTAATGGTATAGCCATCTACCCCATTCAGAATAGACTATTCCTAATGGTATAGCAATCTACCCCATTTAAAATGGACTATTCTCAATGGATGAAACCTATCATTGAATGATTATGGTTCCTACTACTCTGTCCTGAAGGCAATTTTTTAACCTGACATTTTATTGTACAAACAGTGGCTTATATTGAGACGTGTCTTTCGAGACAAACTAATAATCATTGTTTTTATCACTACACTGTACGCATGTTAGCCAATATTTGCATATAAGTATACTTGATTATTAGACGTGTGCTTCTAATAGAGAAAATACTGTGTTTACATAATGCAGTATAATTTGTACATAAGCTGCCACTTATTTTGAGTGATTGTGACCATATTTTATTTACAACATACGTGTATACTTTCCCATAGTGAATTCACTTTGCTTTGGAAGCTGTATTGTCATCGGATTAGTGTCAATGTATTAATTATCCACTGGGTTTTAATTTCGCTATTTACACTGATAAGTAAAATTTGCTAAATTGAATCCACACGAAAATATAACATATATAACCCCTTGTTTTCACTTGCAATTTTGAAAACTTAAAATTGAATATGCCCAAAATAATTAAAATTAAATGCCAGTAAAAATATATTTTACCCAATGCTATTGTATACTAGTGTTTATCTAACTATTTTATACTAGTCTGGCACAACAGATGTTCTGTTACAGACATTGTGGAACATAAATACCATCTTTTCATTAGCTAATTTACAGTTGAGAACCTTGCCTGTGAGTCTATGTAATCAGCAGACTTGATTCAACACTTCAGTGCTTATCAACCGTTTTATCCATAGTGTAAAAACCATACTAGTAATGAATTAACATTATTTTTGTAATATAGAACCATTTTATTGCATTCAGTTTTTGTTAAATTTTGCAAAATATTTTATATATACATGTATATTTTTTTTTTACACTCTTGAATTTCAACACATAGTTTGACATATTCATGCAATTAAACACCTGGTGTTTAAAATCTTTGTACAATTGAAAGCAAATGAAATCATTTTACTGGCTGTAACATTTGTCTATTAAAAAGATTTATACTGAATTGACTTGCCTAAGTTGTTTCCCTGTCACTCGGTGAATATAAATCTTTAACGTTGTTATCTTTTCCAAGCCACAATTCAGTTTTGTCTATGTATTCAAGTTGAAACGTCACTCCCAGAACAACATAAAAACAAAATGTTAAAATGATACTGTAAAATACTTTATTTTTGCTGGGAAATAATTTTTGCAATATTCGCTGAAGGAAAGATTCATTGAGAATAAAGTCCAGCAAATTTACCTTTTCCCTATATTGTCAAACTTGACAAAAATCAGTGAAAATAAAATCCATACAAAACACCCAAAATGCCTTTTCAGCGAAAATTACCTTTCAACTAAAATAAAGTATTTTACAGTATAATAATTTTTCTTTAACCCACTTTTCCATCTCACCTTGAGGATACTGGTGGATCTTATTCTTGTACATGTCTACAGTGGCAGTGCGAGGAAATAAGGAAAATTGACAAGAAAATGAAGATTTAGACAATGTTTATGTGCCTGGGCAAATTCAACGTCAAGTAGTGTTACAATACCATCATAGTATGTCTCACATTTTGGCTTATAACATGTCCCCTGGGTGGGAAATTTAATATGCCAACAGAAATGTCAAATTTGCTATTCAGCCTCCATACCCCTCCCCCTAGTAGAAAACATTGATAGGTGTATCACAAGAACCTATAAGTTAATCATGAACAGTTTCACAGAGGCAAGTGATAACAACATTGTGGTTTCCACAGTGTTCACTGAACATTATATCAAGCTGATTCTTTTTTGTGATTCTGGGTGCCAGACAAGCTGATCAGTCAAGCCTTACTAAGTTTGTTTATTTGGTGTATTGCAAACACCACTCAATGTACTGAGAAATGTTCTTTAAATATTTGGAACATAATTGTTCCACGATTTAGAGAGTATCAGTACTGTGTGCAGGTCACTGGTGTGCACTTTTTTGTCTGATAGTAGACAGGCCATTGTCACAGTATGTTCACTTTCCTATTGCCAGTTTAGTGTATTCAAATCCACTGTACAGTTGTGTCGCAGACAACTGCAGCCATTCAATAATCCATTAACATCAGAATCTCATTTCTTCAGAGCAATCAATGCAAAACATCTTGGTGATATGACAGGGTCAAAGAGTTTTACAATGTGGGCTTCACATATATCATCCTAGAAATAAAAAGAAAAGCATTAACATTCCTACAACATCAGGTCACTGTAG